TGTGTTTGTGTGTGTGTGTGTGTGTGTGTGTGTGTGTGTGCGCTTGCTTAATATAGGAAGCTGAGATAGTAAAGGTAAATTTAGTGTCACAAATAGAAAATTATAATCGTCAGGACCAAGAACAGAGAGACTCCTGGGAGGTTTAAATTCAGTACTTAGTTTACTGAGTTCACACCATGCCTCTGATGCTTTCATAGCATAGTATAGTCGAGTCATATTTACAGTTGTCATATTTACTGTCACACATTTTCATTCAATAATTGTTTCATAATTATTACTATGTAACTATTGTTTGAGACATTAAATATTGATATCTTTTCTTGTATTAATACAACTTTTATTACTGAAACTAATAGTGACTTCATTACCCTGTTCACTTAATTTTCTATGTTGCTCTAACTAAATCTACTCAACTTTAAAACTTCTTTTAACACGGTCAAACACATTAGATAATTTGCCACCACTCCACCAACTGCAGACACCCATCTTGGAATCCTTCATTGTCTTGCTCCAATTTGTACTCTTTACTCTTTAAACTTCTACACAGTTGTCACCTGAAGACTCGCTTCATCATAAACCTGGCAATTTCGCTAGCATTTCACCATGATGGCACAATCTCTTGTGCCTTCGATGACATCCCTTCAGGATTTTTGGTTTACTCTTTCATTTAATGAATCTCAAGTAGATTCTTGACAAAGGACAAATAAGAAAAATTATCTATTGAGGCTTGGGATGTCTGTCCTATTTCATGATACTTAAACCATAATTTGGAAGTGAACAGGGTAATGTTCACTTTAAGTTGGAAATTATTTTCTCACATAATTTTGAACACATCACTCTACTGCTTTCTGGTTTGACTGGTATCTTTGGGGAGGAATCCCTTAATCTTCTGCTAATAAAATATAAGCCTATATGCCAGTGTTCTGAAAGTTAAATAGGAGGAAGACACTTGGGAGGAAGACAATGGGATGTTTCTCTTTGGACCCAAACTCTGAGGTGCCTGGTACCTACCCTCCCAGGTTCTGCAGTAGAAACCAGCATGACAGGAGTTAGGGCTCAGCTTTTCCACTCCGCTAAATTGGTTATCATTTATCCAACCACTTTTCTCCTTTCTAAATTGTGTTACCACTCTCTTTTTTCCATTTTCTTTGTCTTTGGGGGTTTATCTATTTTTATAACTTTGTTCTCATTTTAGTAGTGTTTTGCAGGAAGGTAAAGCATAAAAATATGTCTTCAACCTGTCACGCTTAACTAGTTTGTAAACATATTTGCAAATGTTGGTACCAATTACCACAGTGTCCTCAATTTATGCCAATTTATACTCCCCTCCAGTAGTATCACTGCCTCAGTCATCACCGAGTATTACTATTACGATTTCACATCTTTGCTTAAGAGGTTAAAAAATGGAACTTTATGATAAAAATAAATAATTCTAACATCATTAATGAACATCAACATGTTTTTATCAGTTTATTACCTTCTGATATTTCAACTTTTGAGGCATGTCTGTGTAAGAGTTCTTTGTGTAAGTTCATTAGGATGTTCAGTTTTTTTTCTTGTCATTGTATAAGAGCTCTTTATCTATGAAGATGTTAATTCCATGAAGAAAATATCCACTTTGATATCTGCCTTTTCTTTTCTTTCTTCCTTTTTGAGAGAGCCTCTCACTCTGTTGCCCAGGCTGGAGTGCAGCAGCGTGAACATAGCTCATTGTAACCTCAAACTCCTGGGCTCAGGGTAACCTGCCTCATCCTCCTGAGCAGGTACAATTACAGGTGCCCATCACCATGCCTGGTTATGGTAGCTTTTTTTTTTTTTTTTTTTTAGTTTTTGCCACAATTTTCATGCTTAGAAAGTTCTTACCAAAAAATTTTGCCAACAAACTTTTCTAATTGTTTTGCTATTTGCATTTTTTGCATTAAGCTTTAATCTCATTAGAATGTACTTTTCCATGTATTACGATGCAAGAACATAGTATCCCCCTCCAGTAGTTAATCAATCGTCTCAGTATAACTTATTGAATAATCTTTTAATTTCCCATTGATCTGTATATCACCTTTATCATTTATATAAACCATATACATTTTAGAGTATCTAGGTTTGTGATGGTTAGTACTGAGGGTCAACTTGATTGGACTGAAGGATGCTCCTGGGTGTGTCTGTGGGAGGTGTTGCCAAAGAAGATTAACATTCAAGTCAGTGGAATGAGAGAGACAGACACACCCTCAATCTGGGTGGGCACCATCTAATCAGCTGCCAGCATGGCTAGGATAAAAGCAGGCAGAGGAACATGGAAGGACTAGACAGGCTGAGTGTTCTGGCCTTCATCTTTCTTCCTCACTGGATGCTTCCTGCCCTTGAACATTGGACTCCAAGTTCTTCAGCTTTTGGACTCTTGGACTTACACCAGTGGTTTGACAGGGAATCTCAGGCTTTCAGCCACAGACAGAAGGCTGTACTGTCGGCTTCCCTACTTTTGAGATTTTGGGACACAGACTGATTTCCTTGCTCCTCAGCTTACAGACAGCCTACTGTGGGATTTCACCTTGTGACTGTGTGAGTCAATGCTCCTTAATAAACTCCCTTTCATATATACATCTATCCTATTAATCCTGTCCCTCTAGAAAACCCTTAGTAATACAAGGTTATCTAGGTAATCTATCTATTCTGCTCATATATAGTCTGCTCATAAGATCTACTTATATTTTTACACTAGTGCCACATTCTATATTTTCTAAGCAGTACTAGCCTAAATACTTTTATATCTGTCAGGGCTAGCTAAAATTGATTATAGATACAAAATGAAATAGATAAAAAGACATGCCTAACTAGATGAGACTACAGAAAAGCATTATGATCATAATGGCTAAATTGTATATATTCTTTCATTACTGATCTTTTCATTTTTAGCACATTTTTAAAATATTTTACTTCAAAGAAAGTTTAACATTTATATTTGAATCTAATGTATATTAACTATATACATAATTCTTTTTGTAAAAAAGACTGTGTTCATTTTTTAATCAGTAATTGTCATTATATAATCCAATGAACACTATATGATGCTAATCAACTCTTCATATTTACAAATTAAGGTGACTGTAAATATATACACATATATACACACAGACATATATGTACATATATACACATATAAAATCTGACCCATATCTGCAAGTGGTCCTTTTTACAAGGAAGAAAAAAATATCAATTTCCATAAAAATACTGTATTATATTCACTAATTTCAAATCTTGACTCAAAATTTAAGCTATTTTTTAAAAAGTGTTTCATATTAAAATTTGTATCTGTGAAGTAAATGTAAATTTACTTATATGGAAAAACCATCCATTTCTCTCTATCTCTGTTTCAGGTAAGACAAGACACAATAGTTCTGTATCTCCCTTCCTAGGAGACAAATTTAGAGAAAAAAATAATTTCCCTTTAAAGGGAAATTCTCAGCAAGGTTAACAAAACCACTTACTTTATATGTATTTTTCTGTTATTTCTGAATTTTCTAAACAGTAACAAACTTAATAAATCCTTTAAAAAATTAGATGTGCTTGCACATACAGTGACACCCCTTATATCAGTAAAAAAAAAAATTCACAATCTAAAATTTTCACCAGGGTCAAAAATTTTTATCTTGGAAGCCACACCGTGTATAATAGCAAAATGCAGCTGTTACATAAACCAGGTAGTTTACTGGTTCATTCATGCTATAAAAATATTACTGACATTTCATCTGGTCAACCATCTAAAAGGTTAATTCTTGTTTCCTCTTTCAGATTTTATTCTAGGTGAACTGTTCTGGGCAGATTCTATTTACCTATTCTGAGCAAACCACAAACTGTTTCATTGCTCACTCTTACTGTTAAGAGCATATTGACTTGCTGCCTGCTCTGCTGTTTAATTCATTTATGCTGAGAGTCAGGCATGAAGACAGAATTTTAAATGTGACATTTGCAGACTGTTAGGTCATTTAAGCTCTGACAACACTAGGGAATTCCTGACATATAAACTGGACCTGATTACCAAGCACAGATGAGCTTCCCAAAGGAGCAAATTTTTTGTCATTTTTTGTAATTTCTCAAAGAATTGCAATACTAAATTTTAATGTCAATGAAAAATATATATAGCTAAGATTTTAAAGTAAAAGCCTCTGTTTCTTTTAATAAAGTTCAAACTGGTACTTCTAACCCATACATATCAGCTACATCAAAATTATTTTGATTGAAAAAGGCATATGGAAAGACTCACAATAACAATCAACATTCATAACAATTCTGAGAAACTCTGCCATTTAAGGGCTTTTAATATTTACTATAATATGTAAGGCTCTGAAAACTCTGCTAAGTCTAAAGGCTATAATTCTAGTCAACAGACCATTTAAAATCATTAGATTCTGGTCTAGCAGGGCAGAGGTTATATGCTGTCAAATTATAGTACAAAGTCTAAGCTTACATACTTACAACACCGCCTTCTCAAAGATTATAGTTATGTAGAAAGGATGACAGAATCATTACAATTGGAAATGAACAAATTGCCCACATGACATGCAGAATTACACTTTACAAGGGTTGATAATGGGGTGAGGTAAAGGATATAGGGCAAGATTGTTTTCTCTTTTTAGTAACTCCAAAAAATTACACCCAATGATATTTTTGCAGCTCTTTTTCCTTGTCACGAAGTACTATAAACAATGGGTCAAATGAAAGTTTTCTGAAATTAAATATTGTAATTAAATAATACACAAAAGATAATCCTTATTTTATCCCATATTTTATGTAAGTAAGAATTCTAGAGTTAAACAGCAAGTAGCCTTTTAATACTGTGCTTTGAATGGGACTTTCAACTGTAATAGCGGTAGTCTAAATAGGGATAGACAGCCCAGAATGCCTTTTAACTATAGCACATTGATTCTGAAAAACCTAACAAAAGCAATTACTTTTCAGAGATTAAAAATCTTGTTTCTTTCAAAAGAATAAAATGAAATACAAACCTGGTGTATTATCTGAGCTACAGGAAGTTGTTCAGCATATTTCAGAGGTTCCATTAGTTCCTCACCCATCTGGTCTTCCTTATAGCTGAAAAAAGAGAATTTAAAAACACAAAGCTAAGGAAAATACCATTTTGAAATATGGCAAATATTTAAATATGTCAAATATAAAATATATTAAAATGCATATATGTAAGTTTTTGAAATAATCAGTATTTATCAATAATCTTTGAAAAATTACCACTGAAAAATTTTTAATGACTATAAAGGTATTCAGACTACATTAAATAACTATGCAATAAAATTAGCTAACCTTATTTAATGGTCTCAGATTCTGTCTTTCTCTCTGAGACAAAAATGTTTCAGGACCCTGTTCAAAAGAGGGTGTTTCTTTCATAAAGGTCTCCAAAACCTGGCTCCCACCAAACTCAAGCCTTATCTCTAGCAACTCTTTCTCTACTTAACAGTCTATTGTTTTAGTTATATTTAACTATTGGCCACACCCCACTGGGCCTTGCACCTCCAGGAGTCTCTTACTTTCCCCATGTTGTTATATCTGTTTGGAACAACCACCAATTCTCTTATTTCTTCTTCTTCTTAATATATTAATTTTACAGCCATCTAGGTATATCATTTATACTTCCTTAAAGATGAAAACCATGTCTTCTTCTTCTTTGTATATCTAATATTTATCAAAAAGACGAAAATGTTTGTTGACTGAATCATGAATATATGAATAAAATGAAATAAAAACAATCCTGAGAGGTTATTTTATATAGAAAATATTTCTAATATCTACATGAACAATGATATACAAAGTTGATATAATACATACCTAGAGTAATATGAAACAGTAAATTAAAACTTTTCAAATGACGAAAATGTGGTATAATGATTTTTAAAATGATTGACCCTTTTGGAAATGTAATAACTTAACTTGCACTAGCTTAACTGACTCCATCTTAGCTGCAAACCTGACAAGCTCTCTCGAGCCTCTCCCTCCCTGCCGCAGTCCCTCAGGTGTATTACTGGGTCACGCTGCACTCAAAGCTTTGAACCGTTAAGAGTGGTTCACACTGTTCATAGTACCTGTGACCATATCCTGCTTGGCAAGCCCACTTGCTATTGTGAAAAACTCCCCTTTGATTATTGTATAGAAAGTACCTGAACACCCACCTTAGTGATCGTATGGAAAGCTCCCCCTGCTACCTGCCTTAATGACTTCTACTGACTTGCTTCCACTTCAGCTAGGCTCCTCCTACCTAAATCAAGGTATAAAGGGAAATCAAGCCCTTTCCTCAGGGTGGAGAGATTTTGAGCATGAGCAGACTCTCAGTTGGTCGCCGGCTAATAAAGGACTCTTAATTTGGAACTCAGAGTGTGGCGCATTCCTTGTGACGCACTTGGTTACAACAGAAATAGCAAATAAACATTTGATTTCAAGACAATAAAACCTTAAAATATTTAAACTTTACCTTTTTTTCTGTGAATTACACATGAACTTATCAACTTAAAAATTACTAAACTTTAATTATCTTGAAAAATAAATGAAACAAGATTGGCTAAGTATCTAGGGCTTCAGTTAAGGAATCTAATGAGAACTCCGGAATCTCTCCCAAGAAAAAGGCAGATATAGAAAAAAAAAAAAAAAGACAAAATTTTGCATTTGATTTAATAACTTCAAGAAGCTCTTATCTAGGTAAAAGTCTGTGGATATCTTGCAGAATTTGCATAAAAATAACTAGCTTAATTTGAGAGAACTTTGAAGATTCTCACTAATAATGGAAAAAAAATGCCTCAAAACATGTTTCACAGAGACAGAAAGTAGAATGGTGGCTGCCAGGAGCTGGGAGGTGGGGACTCTGGGAAGCAATTGTTTAACAGGTAGAGTTTCGGTTCACAAGATGAAAAAAGTTCTGGAGATGGATGGGGGGTGGTGATAAGTACACAATAACGTATAGTTGATGCCACCGAAGTGCATAATTAAAAATGATTAAAATGGTATGTTTTATGTTACGTATTTGCTATAGGCTGAATTGTGCCCTTCAACAAACCCCAAAATTCACATTTTGAAGCCTAACCACCAGTACCTCAGAATGTGACTGCATTTGTAGACAGGGTCTTTAAAGTAGTAATTATCTTTCTAATTACTAATAGAGTCAACCCTATTGAACCTAGTCAAATATGACTGGTATCCTTATAAGAGGAGGAGAGACACAAAGACAGTAAAAACCACATGAAGACACTAGAGGAAAATGGCCATCTACATGTCAAGGAGAGAGAACTTAGAAAAAAATCAATCCTGCTGACATCATCTAGCCTCCAGACTGTGAGGAAATACATTTATGTTGTTTAAGCCATCCAGTCTCTGATATTTTGTTATGGCAACCCTAGCAAACTAATACCTATTAGTATTAGGTATTTTTACCTCAGTTAAAAAATAAAGTAAATATTGACCAAAAAAATCCAAGTTGCTTTAAAGCATTTCACATCATTATCTTCAAAAAGTTTATTCACATTATGTATAGAGATCGAGACCATCCTGGTCAACATGGTGAAACCCCGTCTCTAGTAAAAATATAAAAAATTAGCTGGGTATGGTGCTGCGTGCCTGTAATCCTAGCTACTCAGGAGGCTGAGGCAGGAGAGTTGCCTGAACCCAGGAGGCAGAGGTTGCGGTGAGCCGAGATCACGCCATTGCACTCCAGCCTGGGTAACAAGAGCGAAACTCCGTCTCACAAAAAAA